ACTGTCGGAGGGTCGGTGCTGAGGGGGCGCCGCACTGTCGGAGGGTCCATCTTGTGTGTTAGAAGAGGTGCAGGGACATTGACCCTGGTTTCTGACCAATATTTATCCTTCAGTCAACATCAGAAAAACAAACTGTTATACTTTTACATCATGGCTGTGAGATCTTGCTGTGCACGCTTCATCTGCTGTGGTTTCCATGTCCCAGTCAAGTTCCTTGCATCACAAAAGGAACTACACAAATGCAACTTTGTGCTTCTTTGGGTTGCATTGGGAGGTTGGGGTCTGTAGCTTCACTGGGCTGGAGTCAGGGCAATTGGGATGAATAAGGGGGACACGCCATGCGCAGGCAGATGAGAGACAGTGGGGTGGGCAGAGCAAGTGAAGGGGGTAGGTGGGTGATGGCAATGGTGAGTAGGCAGGTGCCAGGTTACTGTGAGTGACGGAGCAGACAGGGGCTAAGCAGGTGTCCGAATGTGGGAATGGATCAAACTGGTGTAGTCTGGCTCTGACAGCACAAACAGGTTTTAGGCCAAGTCAGAACTCTATTGCAGGGGCATCAGGTGGAAAAGGAAGAAGCTCCTGATCTTTCCTCCACCCCCTCCCAAAGCTTCCTGCATGCACTGCAGACTTACCTCCTTCTGGCAGGTGCCGAGGCTCCGATAGCAGCTGTACTGCTCGCTACATCGTACTCTCATCAATTCAAGGCCTTTCTTTTCCCCGAGAACTCTCTCTCTCTCACTCTCTGTCTCTGTTTCACACACACAGTCCCTGGCCTCACACCAACACACACGCACAAAGCCACGTCACCAGGCAGGACTCTCAGCTTTACAGCAGGAGGAGGAGGAGGAGAACATTTCTCCACTGACATCAATAAAGCAGCCAAACCGAGCTCACAATCTCCTGTGACAAAGGAATGTTAATCACTACATGGAGTGTAGTATTGATCCTTCCAGGGAAATCTCGGAGAACACCCCATCCCCGTACAGCAAGGTTATTGAGATCCCACCCCTATGACACAGCAAGATCCCCGAGACACCCCCCACACAGCAAGATCCCCGAGACACCCCCCACACACTGCAAGATCCCAGAGACAACCCCTACACACAGCAAGATCCCATAGACAACCCCTACACACAGCAAGATCCCCGAGACACCCCCCACACACTGCAAGATCCCAGAGACAACCCCTACACACAGCAAGATCCCATAGACAACCCCTACACACAGCAAGATCCCCGAGACACCCCCCACACAGCAAGATCCCCGAGACACCCCCCACACACTGCAAGATCCCAGAGACACCCCCTACACACAGCAAGATCCCAGAGACAACCCCACACACACAGCAAGATCC